CCTCCCAGTATTCCCATCTAAGTTGTCTCTCGACTGGAAGCACACACATTGACGCTGCTGCAAACCACCCTTTGCCCACGCACGGGCACTGCCTGTCCCAGCAAGGGGCCGCGCAGGCAGCCCACCTTCCCCGGGCCCCCACCGCCCGAGCCCGGCAGCTCTCCAGTCTGCCAGCCCAGCCCCGCAGCGACGCTCGCGCCGGAACCTCTGCAGGGATTTGCCCGTCTAGGAGGGGCGATGGAGCCAGCGGCAAGCTGAAGCTGGGCTGTGTGTGTGTTTTACTGGGAGCATTTTGGGCTGTGCTTTGCTTTCCACTCGCAGCCGGGTATGCTCGGGGTCAGGAGGTGCTGCTCGGCTCCCCAGGGAGCCAGGGGGAAATAACCCTCTTGTTCCAGCTCTGAGACTCAGTATCCGAAGGAAGAGGCTCAGGCTGGTCCAGCCATCCCCGTAAGACTGGGCATAATCCAGAGGGAGAGTGAAGTGAGCAAGGACACAGAGGAAGAGAGGCTGAAGCTAAACCTTCCCCTTCCCAAGGGGTCAGAACAGGAATGATCTGTCACTTGTCACATCCCTGTCTCACTGCTCCCATCCTCCACAATTAGTCTGGAAGCATAATTAGAAAATGCTTCTTACGGCCCCGTGCTTAGCAGCAGCCTGATCTTTCAGCCTCCTCTCCCCTCCATGAACTCTGGTGTAACGGGAGTAATAACCCCTACACACCGGTCGCTGTTTCGTGGTGAATCCGCGTCCCCGCAGACAGCGGGTCCCTGGCCAAAACTGCTTTAATTAAACCGCACTGGGCAGATCCTGCATCTCCCCGCGACGCTGCAAGGCTGCAGCATCTGCCTGACGTCTCCTTTCAGTGATTAAAGAAGAAATGGGACCAAAACAATTATTGTACAGGCCTGAGCATTTGATATATGTTTATTGCTATTCAGGTTTAGCTGGGAATTTTGTGCATATGGGGTTTAGGTGGTTATCCAGACTCCTCGCACAGTGCTGCAGAGCTCCAGAGCATCTCGTTTGCACGTCCGTGGTAAGCAGAAGGTGGCTGGGTTCGGTCGGTAGCGGCTGCAAAGAAGAGCCAATGCACCAGCTGAAGTTAATATCACACTCAGTGGGAGCAGGGGAGTTTAAGACTTGGTTGCTCAGTTGTTTTTTTAGACCATCGTATCTCATCAGCAGGATCTGAAGTGCGGATTCTGACCCAGGGAGTTTTCCTTGTCATTATTTACAAAAAAATCCAGCTTTCTCACTTGTCTCCTGCTAGTTTGATATGAGACATTTACAGACAAACATCACCCTGACAGACAACAGCACAGGACAGTAAGAGGGAAAGATGTGCCACTATACACACTTTCTTTTTACTTTCCATTAGCAATATTTTTCCAAGTGTCACAGCTACCTTAGTACCATTCGGAATGCGTAAGTAATATATTTGGATAGAATATACTCTGATATGCAAATGTACACGAGGCCCCTGGAAAAGCTCACATCAAATACTGTATCATTAGAAATAATAATAATAAAAGCTATTTATGACACGGCCTTTATTCACAGAAAGATTTGCCCCGGGGCTTTGTTTTTGCAGTTTGGCTTGATGACAGATTCCCCCCGCCGCCTCTGCCCCGTAGTCCACATCAGCCCAGATCCCCACAGGACACAGAAAGGGAGAATAAAACCCCGCTGGGGCAGAAGCTCCCCCAGCTCACCACCGCAACGACGCCGCAGGAGAAGGCGAAGCGACACAGCAAGGGGAAACGCCACCGTAGTGTTGAGCATACCTGGGGCCCGTGAGAGCCCCTCGCTGCTACATGGGACGAGCTGTTTTATCAGAGTCTGAGCTGCGCCGGCTCGCCCAGAGCCGGGGGGAAGCGGGCACGCCGGCCCACCCTAAGGCACTGCAGTCACACACCCTCGCCCATGCTCCGGATGCAGCCCCCCGGGCAGCTGCACCCTACCTTCAGTATTTTAGCAGGACATCAAGCGAGAATTTTACAAAACCCAGGACGCGGGACCAGTTCCCCTCTGCCTGGGTACCCTGGTGAGGATGGGGATTTGCCCGGGCAATGGGATTGCCCGTGGGATTCCCCGTGGGCATCAGAGCGCAGGGGGCAACGAACACGCTTTGCGACCAGCTGCTGCTTCCTCAGAGTCCTTTGGTATCTTGAGTTGGCCTGACAGTGTCCCAGGAGCATTTGCTGATCAGCGATGAAAAAACCCAGCTGGGGAGACACGGGAGCAGGTGGGAACGCTTGTCCCGTAGTCCCAGAGTGAGCACGTATCAGTCCCAGAGCACGTATGTGTCGGTCCCAGAGCGCGAACGTGCACCACTCCGCCGGGACCAGATGGATGTGCAGCCCGGAGCTCTCTCTCCAGGAGGGTACAAGAGAGACGAACTGTCCGGCACGAATGATTTGGCAAAGTCAGAGCCAGGACAGCTTGTCTTGAAAGGCTGGAGGAGAAGGGTCAGGTATTTTTCCTTCTTCTTGGGCACTGATTGGTTCAAGTTTGTATCACAGTGAAGTCTGAGAAGTGGGGAAGAAACCCAAACCACCTTCCCTGAAAGAGAAAGCCTCGTTTGCCCGCCTCGCTCAGGCTGGAGAGGACAGCCTCTCCTCGCCAGGCACGTCCGATGCGCTGCTGACCAGGGAGGCTTCCATCGCTTGGTAGCAGACTTGGGACCTTCGCCCTCCAGCCAGCAGTCATGCTGGAGGAAAGCAGGCGGACAAACCAGCCCTGTCCCACCGCCCGCCCAGGCTCACCCCCGGAGCCCATCCTCAAACACAAGTAAACATAAAGAGAAACTAAGAGGCACTAATAACGCAGATACGGGGAGACTCAGGCTTGCGACTGTCAAACCTGGCTCCGGGTGTCTTCGTCCAGCCGGAGAAAAGCCGAGTCCCCGTTTCAGATCTCCTGCAGCGAGTGGCCGGGGTCGCTGCGTTCCCGTTTCACCAGCGGCTCCCCCACGCTCCGGGAGTCCGTGTCCACCTCGCTGCCCAGGTCACTAATGTCATCTGCAAAGGACAGGTCTCAGCATGAGAGCAGCGACCGGAGGGGAAGAGGTCCTTCTTCCCAACAAAGCAGGGTGGAAGAGCCAGCATGAGGCTCCCCCTCCCACAGCGATTCAACCCTGACCCAGCGGGACAGAGGGAGAGGAGATACCTTTGTCCAGCAGTGTTGGGGACAGGGATGTGAGGTCACCAAACTGAAAGAAAAAGGAATTACAAGGTAAGTGAGGCTTATGGAGACCCGAGGCGCTAGACCTGCAAGTTGGCATCTATTTCCAAGCAATTCTAACAAGCAGCTTAAGTGCTCAGGAGAAACCACAAGCATCAGCAGTGCCGATGGTGAAGAGCAGAAAGCAAAACCAACCACATGTTTTGAGGAAAAGTCTGCCGCTGGCATTTAAACCTCTGGGCAAACACCACACACAACAATCCAGAGCAGGGTTGAGCTCTGGAACGAAGGGAGAAACTTTTCTGTCTCCCAAGTCACGACCACGTGCTGTCACAGACCAAAGGATGGTGCCTTTTCTCCAGCCTGCTGTATCTGTTGGGCAGCTGCTCAGACATGCCAGCTATTCACCTTTCCTGGGATCCTACCATCAATCCACCTCTGTGCAACTCTCTGCAAAGCCTTTGCATTCACGTCAGGAAAGTACTTTGGCTTGCAAGGCCACGGTGCCAAGTGTAACCAGAGAACTGGTTCTGGAGATGTGTTGTCTCCTGCTGTGACAAGGTCTGAAACACTAAATTGCTATAACATAATGCTGAAAAGTCATGCAAAGTTGGGCAAGGGAAAGAACTGAGGAGAGCAGGAGTTATAAAGCACGCAATGGAAATGGAAGGACACGATTCATCCTCTTTTGCTGGGAAGAATCAGCCTCCTCCTGGAGAACAGAAATATTGCAGGCGTTTAAAGAAGGAAAGGCAAAACCTGAAGGATGAAAGCCTCCCACAGCTAGGTTTTGCTGGAAGCCACTCTCTGCCTTTCATGTTCCTTTAAATAAAGGAATATTGTCCTTCCTCAATAAAGACAGAGGTTTTGCAGGGAATAGCGGGAACTTGCAGCGCTGCTGACTTGGGGCAACAGCATGGGTCTAATGGGAGGGGAAGGGAAAGCAAAAGGCATACAATTGATTTGTCTGGCTCCCCTACATGAGCCCCATGGAAGGAAGAAAAGCTACAAGCTTCAAGGAGCAAATGAGATCAGTTTTAATCTAACAGTAGTTTCTATATTGCTGTCACAGGTTGACCTGGGCCTTTTAAATCTGGGCATTTCAGAGTGAAAAATTGGAAGTAGCTTCAGCTAGGCACCAGGCACCAGATTTACTGTCTGATTTCTTAAAAAACAAAAACCAATCCCCTCCACCCCAACACAAACAACCCATCATTTCTCTTCTTCAAGTCAAAAACGGAGAGAGTGGCTGACTGTGCATGTAACTCTGGAGCTTGCAGAGGCCTGAAGAAGTTCAATGAACGGTACCACTGAAAGTTGCAGGGAAAGTAACTTTTGGACCTTTTTATGCTTGGTTTAATTTTTGTGTTTGATGGGACTTTGCCCCAGCGGGAACCCCAAAGTCAGGGTTGGTACCCACAGGTTATGGAGAGAAGCGGGGAGATCCTTTTCCTCCCTCCTCCAGGCCTCCGAAGCCCAGCTGATACTCAACTGCCCCAAAACCCACCAGCTCAGGTATTAGCGAGCCAGGACAGAAGACGCTTAAGGAGCTGGATCTTCCTGCCAGGCACTAAAAAAACTCAGTAAATCCTTTGGCAAAGATGGTTATAAAAACATGTTCAGGACACAGTGTGGTTTGTGAACCACTCGTGCCTTTTTAAGCGCAGCTTAGTTTGGGTTTGTTTCTAGGGAATAAACAATTCTCACCTCTCCCATTACAGCAATCGGCGTCTCCCCTGTTGCCTGGGCAACACGATGCTCTACCAGATAAAACATGTATTCATCATAGAGCAGGCGAATCAGGTGGAAGGAACCAAAGCTGGCAGCACTGCGCAAGGTGAGGTCACGGATCACCATGGAGCTGGAAAATGGCCGGGAAACAAAATATTTGGGTTGTGTTTTACACTTGCATCACGGCTGATGTGAATTCTTGACCCTGAAGGCACCGTGGGACACAGTGCTCTGTTTCTACCTCTACCCCAAGAGTATCAAAGCACTTTAAGAAACTAGTTGATGGAGTATCCTATCCCCATCCTGAAAGGATACAGGAGACACAAGACTCCCTTCCGTACCAGGGCAGAGCAACAGTTAACCAGAGTTGCGTGGGAGTAAAGAACTTGGCCTTGGCTTTTCAAGGAGCTATTTATGCAGAAATATCTCCAAAGTGAGAAAGAAAATGTACCTATAGAAAGACCATTTCAACAGGAACTGCCTGGCTGCCTTGGGGAAGCTGGGACTGCCCTCGTGATGCTTCAGGACTTGAGTAACAACATTATCCAGCCAACTAGCCCACTGGTCCAGAGAACTCTGCTGCTGCAGAGTGAGCTTGAAATCTTGCTCCAGCTTCTGTACCATGCCTTCCTCGCACTGGCACACCCACGAGGCTTGCTCCTGCTCAGGAAGAAGGGTTGAGAGTTACTCACACCAAGCCTGCATGGTTGTTGCATCCCAACCCAGGAATTCAACTTCATTTCTAGTAGACAAGGACTCCAAACCAGCTCTGAATCATGTCTCCTCCGATCAGCCCAGACCACAGTACAATATTATTATTAGAACTATATTATTGTTGGTAGCACTACTTCTTACAGAAGTTCCTTAGTACCTTCTCCACTATTCACACTGAGATAGCAGACTTACCTGGAAAAGTAACACCAAACCCGTTAAATTGTTCGTTTAATTGCTTCTTAGTATTGGAAATAAGATGCTGATTACCAGCAGACAAGCTCATTATAGAGTCCCAGTTCTAGCCACCACAACCTAGGAAAAGATACCGTAAGTTACCTGCACATTGGCGAAGTCAACCCGATTGAGATCGCTGAGCATCTGGTTTATCTGGGAAGTGTTCTGCAGCACCGCACGGGCAGCCTGAGCCAGGTGGTTCAGGGATGTGTATCTCCGTAACGTCTGCGCAAAGGCACTCACTACCCCGACCTGCAACACAGCACGCAGGGCACCGCGAGCAGGAGGCCACGGAGCTGGAAGGCAAACTCTTCCCAATGCTGAGCTCAAACACGCAGCACACATCAGCTGGGGTAACCTGCACAGTTCCACCCATGCTGCTGTCCAAAGCATACACGTGCGCTCCAGAGCAGCACTTTTGCGGCATATGTTGCATCTTACAAACCAGCCTCTGCATTTCTTTTCTTTAAACTAACAGATTTTCACACTCCGCAGAGACCAGCAAGGTGAGAACAGGCTGCAAGAATTCACGGCTTTAGGAAAGGGGAGTATGAGCCTTAGGTTCCATCTCTGCAATGCCATTCAGTCCATGAGGTGTCCTGCACTTTCTAGTAGGACAGCTTCATCCCAGTGCAGAGATTTTCTTCCAGAAAGCTTTATCTGCAATTTCAGGACATGGGAATGGCTTACTGGACAGAGCACCATCAGGTTCTGGTTACAAAGGAATTGCCCTACCTGTCCTCCCGCTCCTTGCTGATTTTGGTTCATAATTATTCATTACATCGTGTTAGTCTGGAGTACACGTGGCCAAACCCCAGCAGTGATTTCCAGTCACTGTGGAACACTGCGACACGCACACACGCACTCAGTTCATACCCCTGACCTGCACTGTGCTTACCTTGGTCTGGACAATCTGGGGGGGAAATTCACTCATGGCGTTCATCAGCCACCCTTCCAAACTCTTGGCAAAATTACGAATTGCCTGTGTAAGTGTGCCTGCAAAGAAGTCTGCAGAGTTAGAAAGGCTGCTCCATATCATCTTTGGACACAACTTTCTAGCTGAGGACTGCTGTGGAAAGCACAGCCTCTGATCTGGTTAGCTGTGATCTCGATTTAGCATCAAGGAAACCAGCTGGGTCCTGAGATGCACTCAAACTATTCTTATTCTTATTCTTATTCTTATTCTTATTCTTATTCTTATTCTTATTCTTATTCTTATTCTTACTCTTACTCTTACTCTTACTCTTACTCTTACTCTTATTCTTACTCTTTCTTATCCTTTTCTTATTCATGGTCCTTCTGAGCATTTTCCAAACGTTGAAATATGCTCTTCAAAGACACACATGTGCCCCAACATGTAGACTGACAACAGCAGCTCAGAGGGACATGGCTTTCCAGTACTGCTCAGACCAGTCTATGGCTGAGTTGAGGCCTCCAGGAGACTGACGCACGGACTTCATTGAGGAGCCAAATCAGAGAGAAAACCCTCGATATCCCATCACTAATCTCCCAAACGAAAGTTGACCCCAAATTCTCAGGAGATGCAGTAGGGGACAGGATGGTCCTACATAAATAAAGATACAATCTCCAAGGAAACATCTCACAAGGATTAGCTGTACTTACTTGTGCATTAAGCTTATGCTTTTACCTTGACTCCTAGCCAAAGTCAGGAGATGTGATATGCAATAAACCAAATTTTAAAAAGCATGGGAATTTCCAGGGGCCACAAAGTACCGTCGACACAGAGCAACGCTGCAGGAGAAATATTGCTATTGCCATAATATTTTAGCTTGCATTCAAAACAAAAACCTCTAAAGCAGCTTTTACAATGGAAATCTTTGTGGCAAGCGGTAGCCAGACCAAGTGAGTCATGGATTGCTGTTTGTCAGACACAACATCCCGTGACTCAGCCCAGCGAGGAGCAGGAGCTGAGACCACCTGTGTCCTCCTGACCACGCCGCGGGATACTCACTGGGCACTGGTCTGAGCACGTCTGGGATGAGAATCTCCACCAGGGCCTGGTATAAGATGTGATCGCAGCTTCTCATCCATTTGAGGATGGGTTCGTATTTGCACAGAGTGATCAGCTTATCTTTTGGGAGGGTCCCTTCGTGTTCTTCATCGCTGTGGGAGGAGGAAGAGGGAAGCAACGTTAGCAGCAGGTTTGCATTCAGTGCATTCACCCTTCCTCTCGATTTCTAACCCCAGCTTTCAGCAGAAAAAAGTCATTCATGTTTCTTTCGAAAGGAAATGTTTGATTGATTGTACAAGTCTTTGCTGACCCTGCAAGCGTCTCTCTGTCTGTGGGGTCAGTTTTCCCTCAAATCCATATCTCCCGGTGTTTGGCCTTCGCTTCTTCTGTCTTTAGGCTCAGTTGCCTTTCACAGACTCATGTTCATGTGTATGTGGGAATTGTACTTCAGCACAGCCATTTCAGCAAGCAAAGGCTTACCTGGTGCCTCCTTACAGACCCAGCTATTTCCAAAACCTTCACACCTCTCTCTGCTCTAAACCTCCTCAGCTGTAGCAGTGGGGACAAAATGTTTGCAGCAAATGTTTTTTGAGCAGATTAGTCGGTATTGACAGATCCTACAAATGGTTTCGAGGTGTTTAACACCTTCAAATGCTGAATGTTTTCAGAAGGAAAAAGATCTGGTGTCTTGATGAGAACAGAGCATATTGCCTCTAACTGAATGAGGTCAATCAAGCTTGCATTATTTTCTTTTTTACTACTCTATCTACTTTATAGATGTATGGGAACTTTTTCTGCTTGATTAAGGCATAAGATATTTGCTTAAACAGCAAGCAGAGAAAACTGAAGCCTTAATGCACTGCCAGAGCATCAAAGCGGAGCTGCTAAGACACTATGCTGGGAACTGGGAATTTGCAAGGGACTCTCCCCATGCATTACATCAAAGCCAAGCCTTGGACATACCATAAAGAGGTACTTAGAGCCTCTGCCTGAGCAGTTTTTGTAAATGAACTCTACAGGCATACTCCTGTAACACTCACATGGAGAAACTGGCCAACAAGTACCTAAACTTTCTATTAAGTGGAACCATATTCTGCATTTTATCATGCTTTCAAGCAGTTTTCCACTTTGATACCATTTTGGTTTTATTTGTGTATATATAAACCAGGGGGAAGGAGTGTTTTATTTACTTATCTGGATTATTAGCAGTGGTATGGAGGGGTACTAAAGCACACAGCCTTAGCAACATACGCTAGTTTAGACAGAGCCCTGCAGAAATGCTGCCTCCAGTACCCAGTGAGCCTATTTGTACCTAGCACCGCTCTCTCTGTGGTGTTGCAATATGCCTTGGAGATATACCCTTAACTAAAGGAGATTTTGAAACAATCAAACAAAGCTACAGTGATTCTTTGTGGGAAAACATCCATTGGGTAACATCTACTGAGGACAACAGGGCCATATTCTACTGATTATTATGGGGTATTTGCTTATTACTCAAACTTTTATCATTTTTCTTCTGAATATAAAATGTCAGTATCAGAAGCCCTTATATAATCTGTAGAAGTGGACAGTACAGACTTTTAATAGAAATTTTTAACAAGAAACCTTCACCTTTTCAATTTTCTCTATTTTCATTTATTTCCATTCCCCTGTCTCTTGGCAGCAGACCACCAACGCATAAAGGATGAAGAAAAGGCAATAACGAGCCCGGCAGGAGTACAAAGATCAGAGCAGCTTCATTTGCCATTATCTGCCTCAAAACACGAGGCACTTAAAGATTTGGATAGCCATCTAAAGAAGCGAGTCAGTCTAGATGTCACTAAAACCTCAGAGTCTGAGATGTCGCTCAAGACTGATACCTAATGACATGGAATCATTACTGTCTGCTCCTGCTGACCATTTACGAAAGCATCATCCCATTCTCATCCATCCAAACGCTCTCTGCAGTTTGGATTAGCACTTGTTACAGGAGGTACAAGGCACATAGATGTACATAATCAGAGCAGATGCTTTCCTTGGAGGTCTGAACTTTGTGCAGTCATTACGATATCAAACACTTCTGATGCTCTTTGTAATGATTCTGCAGGGAAGTAAATACTTTCAAGTCCTACGAAGCACTCAAAATGCCTAATGAAGCTGAAAATGCTTCATGCATTTTTAAAAGAGAAAATACCACCAAAAAATGGAGCATTCAGAAATAATCAAAGCACAGCAGTGTACCTGGACGGCAGGGCAGTAGAGCCATCACTAGATGGTGTTTTAGGACTCCAGAAGGATTGCCACAGTTTCTCAATATAATGAAATTGAAGATTCATTACAACATCCAATGTCGCCTAACAACAAAGAGTACAACTCATTAGCTGCTCTGCTAGCGTCTTGTCACACAGTGTAAGCATAAATTTCATGTGCTGCCATTTAGATTAAATAATTTACAAGAAAAATAACGGAAAGGGCATTGTTTTAATAACCAAGATAACATAAAACAGGTCACACAATGAAAAAATAACATAAAGCGCAATATTTGAGTTGTAATACCTAGCAAATCAAGCATCCCCTATTATATTCTAGCTTTTCCTAAGAGCACATGAATTATGTCCCACATCAATCAATAAATCAATTAAAAATATTCCAAATAATCACCTCGCAGTGTCGCCTGTAAAGAAGCTGCAGAGTTTTCACATCATTCATGGTGACCCCTTCTTGTAAGAGGATATTACCTAGATCAGGGGCTGGGAACTCAGGAAAGACATGGGTTACATCTAGGGAAAAAAAAGATAGGGAAAGGTGGTGAGAGTCAGGAGCACTCAGTTACGCAGGACTACAAATGGGTGCAAGGTGCTGCTGTCGCTGGTGGCTCTCTCTCATGTTTCAATTGGGGAAGAAACAGGAGAAATGAGACCGATAATCTAGTACGTTCCTATTCATGCTGCTACACTGGGCAAAAAGCGAACAACCGCAGCCCGTTTTATTCAGTGTGGAAAGGAAAACGTTTTCTTTCTCTCTGTAATAAAAGAAACAAGAATACATTGTCCTCATCTACTGCACTTCCCATTAGATTTTCTCTGAAGCCTGAAAAATGCCTCTCTGGTATTTTGAGAGTACAGTGGAAAATATAATTGGCCAGCAGACGTATCAGGAGCAATTGTATTTCAGAGAAGGCTCAGAGCTGGCCAGGATTTGGCATCCCTACTGGAGGTGATGGAGACACGTAGATCCATGACCAGCAAAGCCAGAAAGCTTGTCTCCCAAGGAGGAGGTCTGTATGGATCATCTGCATCGGATACATATTGCTGCCTTTGCAATGAAGAGAATCGCTCTTCTCCCTCCGGCTGCCCATCTTAGCAAGGCTCTTCAGGACCTCCACTCCCTCCATCCAATTTGGATAAAACCAGTCGGATTAAAAACATTCTTAGAGGGAACCAACAGACCT